CTCATTATTTTGGTGTATTTGAAAATAACATTTTTAGAAAGGCAGAAGGGAGGAAAGCTGAGGGGTTAGGGAAGAGAGACCTGGGAAACAAAACCCTTTGCACTTCCTTCAGGTTCTCAGTTGTTCTTTGGGTGCAGTGTCACCACTATTGATCTTTAGAAAACAATGCAATGTTCTTTTTTTGCTTTACAGACTGCTTTGAGATCTTCATTTTCTAAGGAAATGTTCTTTAGAGTAATTACTGTTCCTTATCCCTGCCTCAGCTGAGTCTTAGAGCTGATTTCTTCACCAATATGAACGGGCTGTGTGTTGGGTGTGTTCAATCACTCTTCTCCCTGAGGCTGGCGGGAATTAGACAAGTGCTTTTAAATCACTTGTTATTATGGGTTCCTTTTGTTGTGTTTATCTTTAATTCAGAGTGCGTTCTTGTACTGTTGTTTTTGTCACATTCCGTCTTCAGTCTGAGGGTTTTGTGTTTAAGGTGTTCAGTTTTGTGTTAAGTGTTTGTGGTGGATTTTTTTTTTAGTTTCTCCATTTATTGTTCTTGTCTGTGTTGGGTTACAGTCTTTCTGGGTAGCTTGAAATGAGCCAGAGCTCACAAAAGCTTTAATCAGACCTATTACTTTCCTTTTCAGCGTCCTTTATCCCTGGGGGCTGATATTTGTGTGCATTCTGCCACGAAATACATGAACGGTAAGTACAGGAGTTGAGCACAACTCAGGCTGGCTATTGAAAAGCGAATCTGGCTGTGGGCAGTTCACAAAAGCCAGTGCCTCTGCCAGGAGTTCTTAGATAGACCGTTAGAGGAGATGGACCCTTGAACAGAGCCTTAGTCTTCACAGCTCCTGAACTGTCCCTGGGAGAAGGAGCAGTGACCTGGCTTCAGGTGCCTGGGGACGTGCATGCAGCATGCTGCAGTCATGCTGCTGAGCAGAGCTTTCGAAAAAGCTGAAATCTGCCTGAGGATTTGTGTGCTGCACAGGACGGATGGCTGTAGCGATGAGAAGGAACGCAAGGTCTTGCAAAAATGGGACTGTATGGGCACCAAGACCGAGAAAATGAGGGTTTGTGGCAGAACCCTGGTGAGGATGGAGTGACTGAGTCTGTTCTTGTCTTCTCCTTGAATTTTTAGGGCATAGTGATGCTATAATGGGACTTGTTTCAATGAACTGTGATGATCTCTACGAAAGGCTCAAGTTCTTACAAAACAGTAAGTAGCTAATGTAGGAAATACCTTAAAAAGAATTGTATTAAAATATGCCAGCTCATAATGGAAAGCATGTAGCATGCACACGAGTAGGAGATGTATCCAGAGACGTAGCTTGGGCATTTAAATGTGCAGAAGTGTAAATGACTGGAGAACAACCTGAGGAAACCTGGACTCTCTTCCCTGCCTTTCAGCAGTACATAGGGTGGCCTTATGCAACCATGATGGCTTTCGGTGTGCCTCTGTGGCTTCTCTCTCAAATACAGCTCCTGGCACTGGTCTCCACTGCTAACTGCTGGTGAAGAAATGCCGGGGTCAGCGTGCATTTACAAACCAGGGGCTCACAAAGCCTCTCTTGAGGTTATAGTTGAGACCATGGCAGAAGGAGCAGTGTCGTTTCCTATGTTCGCTTCAAACACCAAGTGGCGTACAAGCCTTTAAGTTCTGCATTTGTTTGACTTCATCTAACTTGTGTCAAGTCCATCTGGGGTTTTTTAACTCATTCACACGTCAGGGGATGTGGCTAATGTAGAATTTTCATCTGTAGGTGGATGTTAACGATTTTACCGCCTCCTAATTGTAATGAATGAATTTCCGTACAGTGCTGTGTGTGCCTCCTGTCTACAGCAGGCGGAGTAAAGGGATATTATATCTGATAAATGTAATCCTTGAAGGTCTTCAGCTTGTTAATGCAGCTTCTTAATTGGCATCCCATGTGCATGAGATGAGGAAGACAGGTCGCATCAGATGTCTTTCCACTCATCTTGTTCGAACTTTAGAAATTTTGTAAACGAGGACCGTATTTAATTTTATTAACAAAAACCCCCTTTGTTTTATGTGAAATTTTGTTTCAATTTGTGTAGCTCTTGGAGCTGTTCCATCTCCCCTCGACTGTTACCTGTGCAACCGTGGTCTGAAGACACTCCAAATCCGGATGAAAAAACATTTCCACAACGCACTAGCTGTTGCTCGATTTCTGGAGTCCCATTCCAGGGTGGAGAAAGTACTTTACCCAGGTGGGTTGGCAAGCCTTCAGAGCGGGTGACGTCTCAGAGCGATGGATTTGGGTACCGCTGTGCCACGTGTGGTTTGTGCGCCCTTCACAGCTGGGGACTCGGGGTTAGGTGTGTGCCTTGGCGATGGGCTGTTGCTCCAGAGCTGAGGGTGAGCTGCTTTACCCTTTGGTGTGATGGTGATTGACTGACAGCAACTTCTACAAATTCCAGGCTTGCCTTCCCACCCTCAGCATGAGGTGGTCAAGCGGCAGTGCACTGGCTGTTCCGGGATGATCAGCTTTTACATTAAAGGAAATCTCCAACACGCTGCTGCCTTTCTCAAGAATTTAAAGGTAAATGATGGTAAACACAGGCTATGTACGGGGACTTGGGCCTGTCCTTCTGAGGGTGATAATGGAAGGAAGTGGTTTTTCTTTGAGTGGGGAGAGTCTTTCTTTGTACTGACAGAGTTCCTCCAGTCTTTTGGGTGTCACCGTCTCTAAATAATAGATTATTTCCATCAGGAGGCTAATGAGAGGGAGGAAAAGGACGCCTCAGCTCATTTGAAGTTTTTGTATACACAGGAGGGTGTTGTATATCCAGGTTAGCCCAGACATTGCTTGTAATACAGGGCCTTTTGCAAAAATAGCTCTAGTATTTGAAAGCAGCCAAGCTGTGGCTGGTGTAATACTGTCATAATATTTCACAGTACTCACCAGGAGAAAAACCTATAGAGAAATCATGAAGTAAAGAGGGAGCCCCTCAGTTTGGAGAGTAGTTGTTTATTTGACCTAAACCATAGGCTTTTGCTTTTCTCTTTGCACTGCCTCTACTCTTTAATGTGTTGCTAGTCTTGATCTCTGGTTGTTTTGCATCCTGCTCTTGTGTTTTTGCTGTTTTGTTCTTGGAAAAACAAGTCAGTAATAATTGACAAAGGTAAATTAGGACTTCCTTCTGCTCCCTCTCTTGTCTGCTAATGTCATTAGCTGAAACTGAATTCACTAAAAATATTATTTTACCACAAAATATCCTTGTACATGAGAGAGAGAATTTAATCCTGGCACAGGAGATCTGCCAGGTTTGCCAAAAGCATCAGGGAGTACATTCCAGAAGCAGTCCCTTAGGAGTGTATTCCCTTCAGCCCTTGATGTGAATAACCATCAGTTTGTCACTAGGTTGGTACAAAAGTAAAGCCGTTGTGGTAAACCATGCTGAG